GGTGATGGCCATGTGCGTGTTCCTCTGGGCGCCGGTGTTGCGCAAGGGAGGGCACTAGGCTAAGGTTCCTGGTGTGCTTGTCCATAATGCAGACAGCGTAGATGCTTGGGGTTCGTAGTACAGCGTTACCAAGCTGTGGGGGGGCGTTTGTGTTTTGCGTAGTTGTGCTTGAAGGTTCAGTAGCAAGTTGATGTATCCTTGATTGAAGGAGAACTGAGGATTGATTTGGTAGTTTGCAGATGGTGGACCTTGTTTGAAGCAGGCTACATTCGGCAGGTTGTACAATATATCAAAAGCGGGCATCCTTTGGAGAATCGAGTTTGATTGGTTTTTCGGTTGGAAACAGGTCATGATTTTGAGTTCGTGGAGGATTGCAGATGGTTGAACCGAAGGCAGGGAGAACGTACCTGTTCGATGCAGTTTTCGTGTGGAATGCAGATAGACAGGGAGGGCGTTGCCTGTATGTGTGTGACACCTGAAGAGTCAGTTGGTGCTGCACAGCAAGGAGTTCGTTCCATCATGTCGGAAGGATTTGTCAGAGGCGTTGCTCGAGGTAGTAGAGCGTTGCCTAGAATTTGTAATCCGAGCGTCTGGAGTGGTTTTATCTTTGTCTCCTTGCAGTACGGCCGTTGGAATCATTGGTGATATGGACGGCTTGTTTGAGCCGTTGGAATCTTTCGTGATATGATCGGCGTGAGGCGTTGAATTTCTGAGGGGTTTTGATCCGGTGGCCGGGTTTCCCCTTTACTTTTGGTTTGTCGTTGTGTTTCGGTTTTTCGGACGCATTTTCGACGCACTAGAGGTTCTTCACTGGCGTAAGGAACCAGGGACGGTGTTCGTGCGTAGAAGTAGATGTAGTCGAAAAGTAGCCGTTACGTAGGACGCAGCTGGGACAACTTGAAGGGTATGTGCTGAGAGGCTTTGGATGACAGTGCGGAGTCCCCGTATTCTCTCGAGAATTGGGGCCTCTCCTCCTTCTCCGTCCCTCCTCTCTCATGCGAGCTAATACACACAGTTAAACAGCAGCCCCAAGTCCGCCGGCCCTTAACAGGGCTAGGGCTCACGAACACACAAGCCCGAGGAGGTACACCTTCAATCCCTGCAGCACGTTTGCATGTTCACAACTGAACTACACGCCCACACACTACAATTCGACTACAGCAGCATCACCCCCCTTGTCTCGCATTTAGCCAAAATGAATGTCGACTACAGCGTACTGCTGTCTGAAGTGCTGTCTGTACAATAATAACACCTGGTGCATGGTACACAAGCTCGGGGCATGCAGCTGCTGTCTGAAGTGCTGTCAGAGTGAGTCTGTGGACATCCAATGAAGAACACCCAACAAACCAAAGCCATCATTGCAATTGGCAATCACCCGAATCTGTCCAGATCATCTGTGTTAGGCACAGCAGTGTAAACATCGACACTGACTAGGAAGCGTTCCACATTGAAGGGGTCTTCCACGATGCAGGTACACAACTAAGGCACCCGGGTTATCCGCGCCATCTCTGCCGCGTCTCTCTGCAAAACCAGTGACGTCATCACACACACCCAACACTTGTGAAATGCTCCGACTCCCGGCATGGACACGAATTTGATCAGCACACAGACAGGTAGCACGTTTTAGCACACCCAGCTTCGTCCTGTTCCCTGCTGCCTATTGAAGCGGGATACTCGCCAACATCCTGCAAGGTTGCTTCATCGAGAGTGAGTACCATCAACACCCAAGCGTCCTGTAGTCGAAACTTTTGTCCGCTTTGTGTCTTGGCAGACAATGCAAGCCGTCTCCTGTTCAAGAACGAACCGGCCCTCCTTCCAGGCTCTCGTTCTGCATTCTCACGTTTGAGCAAGGGAATTGCACGATGACTGGCTCCGGAATGTTACGTGAGGAGGAGGAAGGGTAAGCATTGGGCTATAAGGCAGCGTGGAGGAGTCTGACGCTTCATTCCGGGGAGGGGGAGGAAGTTGCAGTCATTTTTCTGTCTACTCTGTGTCCAATAGGTGACCGGTCGCCCCGGTGCTCTTGTGGTATCCTCGTAATCCGCAAGTCGCAGAGGTCGTGAGTTCGAATCCCAATGGGGTGAAAAATTTACGAAATTTGCGGGTGAAAGCGAAAATAGCTAATAAACTCTCGTGAATACCAAACTTCGACGTAAGCACCGTTGACGAGGGAAAGGGACGGCTGGACCCTTCTCGCGATAAAAATAACATTCAGCACGCACCGCAGGAGGAAGGTGGGGCATCCTGGTGTGTACCCCCTCCTGTGTGACCCTGGATGGTTGTAGTTGTATGCGAAAAATACACTGAAAAATATCACTAGTACTCTACATGAGCTGAAAAGTGTAGTGCACGTCTCACCACGAAAAATGGGGAGGACTCTCGTAATAATAAATAGGACGAAAACACAGCAGTTGGAGAATGAATACTAACTAAACAGAACACCAGGCACGTGCTGCTGTGGGCTGGTGGTCTAGCATGGGGAGGAGGGAGGCGGCAGCAACCGCAAACGGCTATGATATATATGCGCTCAACAGATGAGTCCATGTATGTGCATCATGCATGAACTCTTCGTCTTGTTGTTGTTGTTGTTGTTGTTGTTGTCTTGCCAATGAAAACCTTTCCGTCCTCTCCACCCAGTACCTTCATCTGTCCGTACTAGTTTAACACGCGGCGCGGTCGATTCTCGTGGTCACAGGCGACCGTACCCAATAGCAGGTGCGCTAGAACAAATGGACCCGAAGGATCCGCAATTCAACAGAAATTAACGACAGACAGCCCAGGTCCCTCCGCTCGCCTCTAGAATACGCACCATGTGAGGTAGACTGTAAAAAAGAACAGGAAGAGAAAAAAAAACACACACACCCCCCGTCTAGATCTACCCTCCTTACTGCTGCTTTTTCAACGAATGGTGGTCTTGGCAAAGGCACCACCAATCGACTCATCGTTGCTATCGCCAACCACTTGGCGCACGAAAGCTTTTTGCCGGGAAAATTTTGACGACGAGAGGGCCTTAGTTCGCCTGAAAGCTTTTCATACTAACAGGATTCGGAGACGGTTTACCTTCGAGCTAGCTCGTTTTCTGTCGATGCGAACTCGCGATGTGTTCAAACGTCATGGGCTATCAGCCGGTTAGCGCGGTCGATGCTAATAATAAAAACACACACACACAGAGAGAGAAAACGAGACGCGACAAAAGATATCTAGAGACACACGCCAGGACCACTACAAATATAACATGTCAAAATATTAAAAACAGAGCCACCCGAGACAGCAAAGGCATGCCATCGCTCGTGCAAGGTTGGTGCAATGGTGCAGTGAAGGAGGGCGGGGGTTAGTCAATCAAGGGTTTCAATCCGGCATAACATGTCGCGCCGCTTGGTCCGACTCTTCTCGTTTTCTTTGTTCCCTCGCCATCTCGTCCGTCTGCTGCCCCTCTCTCGCCCCTTGGCTGTTACTGTTGGGCGGTACCACAGCTGTAGTACGCTGGTTGGCGTATGTGGTAGAGGCTTGGTAGAGAAAACAAAAAGAGTGATTTATTATCCACACACAGACGCCTGGACTGTCTGCACCTGACGGTTACAGTAAAACAGAACGCCTTCACAATACCGTATCAAACACATACAGCAGAATAGATTCGGTCTTGCACAGCAACCAACATGTCCTCTCAAGAACGTACGCCGTTCTGATACATGAAACTCGAATCTTCTCTCGATGTCCTCTCAAAATAATGTCCTCTCGAAAACAACTCACGAGTACTTGCGATCTCAACTCAAAATTAAATAGTCATTACCTGCCATTTCAACAAGCAGCGAAAACATTCCTCTTACACAGATCTCCCGAGTTTCCTTCAACATTCAACCCTTAAGATTACGAAGAGGGGAGGTGACTACATTTCTAGAAGCTGGCGACGGTTGTTGAGGAACTTAACCGTTCCTAGGTTCTTGGTCAACATGTCAGCCTTCTGGAGGTTGGTGTCGATTTTCTTTACCTCCACTACCTTGTTAACGATCAGCGACCTTACGTGGTGATACTTGACATCGATGTGCTTCGTTTTCTGCGTTACTTTGTTCGATTCACTAGTCGATATGGCAGCAGTGCTATCCTCAAACAACACCGTAGCCTCCGTCTGCTCTCGATTGATGGTCTTGAGAAGATGACGCCAGTGTAGGATCATTTTGCACGCCTTGGACATTGCGACGTATTCTGCCTCAGCCGACGACGTGGCAGTGACCGTCTGCTTTACACTTGTCGTGTCCACCGGGCTACCTGCGAGGGTAAAAACGACCCCAGTAGTCGATTTTTGATCGTCAAAATCGCCTGCGAAGTCAGAGTCGACGTAAGCGGTTAGTTTATCTCCGCCTTGCGCGTCCTTGCGGTAGGTGATGCCCAAAGAGGTCGTCCCCTTCAGGTAGCGCATGAGTCGTTTCAGTTTG